TCCATCACATACAACCCGTACTTAAAATCTCTATACGCTAAGCTTGCCAGCAAACGTCAGCTACGTCTAGCTTTTAAGAGGTGTCCCACCATCTTCAACCTCTTACGTAATGGAAAGGACCCTCCTAACCCCATCAGACGCCCTGGAATCTATAGCATCCCAGTGAAGGACAACAGGTGCGATAGGAACCTGATTTATATAGGCTCCACTAAACGATCTCTGGGAGTCAGAATACAAGAGCATCTAGCCGATATTCGGCACGGAAGAACTTCCACGGCCCTCGCTACGTATGTAACTGATCCGGATATAGTAGCGAACTTCTCCCAGGCCATTCTCCTCCATGATTCGCCTCCTATCGAACACCTCAAATGGCTAGAGGCTATGCACATATTTATATCCTCCACCAACAACACGTGCATAAATTTTAAAGAGGAGATGCTGTTATCGATGGCCTGGCAGGAGTTAATTCACAACACGCTCTAATTCGCCCATCAAACTATGACGGGTAACCAATCGCGCATGCGCGACTTGGATTACGTGAATCCATTCGAACCTACAACTTAAATTTCAAGCTTTAAACGACATGAACGATCGAATTTCTACTTATAACGGACATCGAACGTCTTTAGAAGCTGATTAGAACCTGAAGCAGAACCCAGAAGGGGTTCGAAAACGTTTGTTTTCCGATCTTTTGCATGATCACACCGTAATTGGTTCAGGTGTGTCGATTTTTTCATCTTGATTATATTATAAGATGAACCTTTTGCATTAATGTCTTTAAGGAATATCTCGTAAGACTCGACTTTTCCATTAGCTTATAGGTATCCTGATTGTTATAAAATAACCTGTAGACTGGGATGTAACCATGACAGTAAAATTATACGAATTGGTTAGTCTCATAAGTGCCAATAAAAGCTTACATAAGTAAGGGATTTACCATTTACAAACTTTTTTTTTTAACACCCATGGTAGAAATAGGGAACAACAATTCCAAAACCCAAAACCCTGTACAGTGGTACCTCAGGATACGAAATTAATCCGTTCCGAAACTGAGATCGTATCATGAAAATGTCGTAAGGTGGATCATCTTTTCCCATACGATTACATGTAAAACCAAATAATTCGTTTTAATGCAAAAAACATACTCAAATTAAAGCCAAGTAATACATTTAAAAAAATAACTGTAGTAAGAAAAACAAATGAAAAATGCGAACTAATGTAACGTCGTATGGTGAGTTTTTGTTCGTATCGTGGAGCAAAAATATGTTCGAATTTCATGTCGTATCCTGAAAGTTTCGTATGCTGGGGCGTTCGTAACCTGAGGTACCACTGTAGTTGAGAAACCTGAACTCTGTCTGTGTCTGTGTAGTCAGCCTCATTAACTACAGAAGCAATCTATCCTAATTCAACAAAATCTGTTGACAAGAGGCAGTATGTATCATGGTTTTGTAGTTATTTTAATGAACAATTATGTAATCTCGCTAATAAAATAAACAGAGTTTACTATGTTGGTGAGAAAAGTCTGATTTTTTTTGATATATTAGAAAATAGTATAGTAGAAAATAATAAAACTGATAGTTATTTTTTTGTATTTATTTCATATTGTTCATTATAAATACAGTTGAACCTGTCTATCTGAAGTCTCATGGAATGAGAAAAAAAATTTGAGACAGACAGATTTTGAGATTTAGAACTTTCTACACAGTAAATGGTAATAGATATGACTGGAAGTTTATGTCTTTCATTAATACAGTAGCAAGTACAGTATATACTTGTACTTGCTACAAGTATATACTGTAGCAAGTACAAGTATATACTTGTACTTGCTACAAGTATATATGTAGGTAATAGGTAATAGTAATAGGTATGACTGGAAGTTTATGTCTTTCATTAATACAGTAGCAAGTACAGTATATACTTATATTAGGTATAAATAAAACATTTTTGACATACCTTAAGAGAAATAATTTGTATATAGTTTCTGACTCCTGACATTCTTTATCCAATAAGATTCAAGCCATACTTGTAGCATTAGGCCTACAGTAGCTTAGTGAACACTGATAGTTGGTCATTGGTTTGTGCCTGGCCATTGGGCTGGCCACATGGAATTTACTGGGTTTTCTTCATGTTTGTAACACC